AATAATATAATTAATTGTTATGAATATATCAACGAATTTAACACGCGCGCGCGCGCGAGTACTTGTTAATTAACTAGTGGATAATCAAAGCTAGAGATCGTGTTTGAGGGTTAGCGAAATTTATTGAAAGGTTAGCGAAAAAACAGCCGATAATGTTACATTGACGAAACAATAGGAAATAATGTGTTACCTTCATTAAATAATCTATTTCGCAAAGTGATGCGCGCGAAGTGTATATTCTACCGCGCGATGGGAAAATTTTATATAATTTGCGCGAAATATATGCATAATGCGCGTCAGGAACAGTCTCTTACTAGGGCGTGTGTGGCCTGGTTAACACGCGAACCGTGTTCTTATCGTCTCGCGAGCAAAAACACGCTGATTAAAGAGATGTTGTAATAGCACGTCCGCGCGAGTCGTAATAGCACAGCGCGAAGTTGTTCCCGCAAACGTAACCAACTCGCGAAGTTGCGAGTAGGTGCAGTTTAAGTAATTCTCTCTCCCGTTCTCTCTTTTTAGTTACATCTCGAGAATATCCAGACGCGTGAGCTCCGCACCTTGATTAACTTGAAATAACGTTCGCGAGGAAAATGACTTTGGAAACACGGCGGGCGCGCGAACACGCTTTGTACCGAGATAACATGCGATAACAAAGATGTTCTTTGAGATTGTTGAGCGATGCACAATGCCGTACGGATCGCGACGCGGCAGAAAGTTTGCGTATATAGCAACTATCGCCGTTCAATTTGCGGACAGTGCAAAATCGTTGAGCGATAATAAAAGTTGCGCGAATTAGCGCGAGATTCGACGGGCAATAAATAACACGTTCGATCGCGCTCGCTGCACCGCAACGATAAATGTGCGCGAAAAGCCCGGACGGCGACAGATTAACACGTTTCCACTGTGGATTCGCCGTTTCCATGATAATCGACGAAGGCCTCTCGCCTGATTGGCACGTATATTCGCGGTACGATTTATTAGAGAGAGAGAGAGACAGAGAGAGAGAGAGAGGACGGCGGGAATTGACCGATTTTGTAGAGCGCGGCCGCATAATCCTGTCTTCGTTAGTCCCACCACCGTATCGCGCCGCCTCAATTAGTTCCCGTCAAGTGTCACCCGCGGCGGATACTATACGTGACGTCTAATTTTAGAAACGACGCTCTTAATTATCGCGCGAATCGCGAGCATCGTCTCATCTCTCCGTTTGCGCTGGCTCTCTCCTCTCTTTGTTTCCTCTCTCGTTTTCTCTCGCTTCCGAACTTCGTTATTGGCGTTATTAAACACGTGCTTGTCGGCGTTAATGCAATAATAGCGTGTTTCGTATTTTCGACAATCGAATTGTATATATAATTTGAGATGAAAGATCCGCGTGGAAAATTTCAACGGCGGAGAAATAAACGCGCGCGTGTGCAACGGAGAAAGAGCGAAAGAAAGGGAGAGAGAGAGAGAGAGAGAGAATAACGGTCAGAAATTTACTTTACATCAAAGGGATATTGGATTTAGTTCTCTTCGGCCGCGGAGAGATGAAAGATCTGCCGCTCGTGTTTTTCAGTACGTTAGACTGCGTTTTCGCGAAAAAAAAAAAAAAAAAAAAAACAGCAGCTGCCGCGAATGAAGAAAACGAAGGATTTTATTACGTAAACGTCGTAAACAAATTGTCTCTTTTCTACTCCCGAGAGACCCGATGTGTTGTTTTCACCTCCCTCGCCTTTTGTGTCGCTTCAGTTCTCATCGAAATTTATTGCAAAAATGTATCTCTCTTCTCTTTCGCGATGTAATTTTTCGTGAAATTTATTTCGCGCGTATTATATTTCATTTTGTTGCCGATTATATTTATTTGTTAATTTCGTGAAATATAAAACGTTTCTTTTTGGCCTGTCAATGTGATTAATTTGCGATCGATAAAAGTGGCATTTGTTTGTTTTTTCTTTTTTTTTTGTTTTTTTTTGTTTTTTTTTTGTTTTACGTAAACGAGTGTGCAAACACGGCGATTTTTTCAATCATCGTTTTCACGCGTGCAAATGCAAAATAGATGCGAATGAAGGAAATCAAAATAAATACAAAGTTTCGCACGTATATATTTTGCATTTGCGCGCGTTGAAGCTAAAATCGTTGTTTACACGTTCGAAGCAGAAAACGCCACTTTATCGCCAGCTTTTCACCAGATAGATATTGCGCGAAATGTCCTCTTCTCTCTTGTAAGAATATTCAATTTCCCAGCAATATCAATGCCAGCATTGTCGAGAAGTGGCTCCATCCTACTAACAGTATGTATGGAGTTGATGATCCAGTTGTATGTAATGAGGTCATTCCCTCTGAATCGAGTTCGTGCGGGTAGGAAGGTGTGACGTATTGCGAATCGAACGAAGTAACTTTGTAGACTGGCGGTGGTGGTTTCAATTTCGCGCAGTAAAATACCGTTAGCTCTGCCGAGCGATTGTCTGGAACTCTGTTGCGCCATTTTTTCTACATTCTGCCATTCCGATATTCACTTTGTTCGGAGAGCTGTTTCTTTTTTTTTTTTTTTTTTTTTTTTATACTAAAAAGCTCCGACAATTTTGCGCGCGATGCTTCACAGAAAAAAGTCTGGTCCTGTCTTTGGTGAGATATAAAAGGTTCGCTTAAGCAGGCACGTAACGATCGATCTTTAATTTGTAGCTGTAATAAAATACAAGAAGCGAAATAATCGATATAATCGAATAGTCGAACTTCGAAGTTCTCGATTGCAACGAACCAATGTTGTAGTATTTTTTTATATCTAATTATTTTCTCACCTAATTATTTTGTTATCTAATATTATTTAATATTATATAATTTGTTAAAATATTAAATTAATTAAATTAAAAATTATTATTAAAAATTTAAATATTACTTTAATTTTTTCTAATTAATTTTTTTTTTACGTATTACAAAATATTTTTCGCCACAATCTGCCTTGTGCTCTTGAATGATCCTAATGATTATACATGTAAAGTTTTATATAAAAAAAAAAAAAAAAAAAAACAAAAAAAAAACAAAACCAAAAAAGGAACTTAGAATAGCACAAGCAGCCAATGTCGCAATCTTCGTGGAAGACGTCTCGTTGCAATTGTGATGATTACGCACTCAGCAATCACGCAATCCCCAGAAATCCGACACGCGCAATGAAATCAAAACCTTACGTTAATTGGGTGAAAATTGTCGGCGAGAGAAAACGTAGGGTGCTGGAGGGAAGTAACGGGATGAGGAGAGGGGAGAAGGAAGGAAAGGGTGAATGTGGGAGAGAACGAAAGGGAGAGCTTGTAAGAAAGGATAGACGGGGGGGGGAGGGGGGAGATGTAACGGGAGGTTACGCTCGGAGTTTGACACAGTCAGAGACCGGCGTTGCTTGGCAACCTCTAAGGGTGGGAAACCCTACATTGGCGTAGGGTATACTTGCTACGAATTTATGCGCTATTATCATTCCCCATACCACATACCTGCTATATACCTTTATTTCATCTCCCGCGAGGGCACACGCGAAAAACCATCGCGAATCGACGACCACCGCTAACAATCGGCTCCGGAATGAATGCAACGAAATTGGCTATTTATCCTTAATGGTGTTCGTATTTTGTCGCAGAGGATTTTAAAGCAATCAGATGTACTTACTAATTAGAGTTACAATGTGTAGTTAGAGTTACAACGTATAGTTTAGTTTTCTTCTCTCATCTGGGGAATTATTATCTGTCTAATCTCTATAATCAGGGGAGGGGGGAGGATTACACATCTCTCACAGCACGAAGTGTCGCCGAAACATTACAAGAATATTCATTTCGCAACATTGAAATATTTCCGAAAAATTGCCACGGTATAAATTCGCTTCGGAACGTATTTTCTTGCAATGATGCTGACGTGTTTCTTAAATATATCGCCAAGACCGATCTCTCTGCAAACGTTGATGCAATATTCATAAAAATCCATCTTCGTACTTGTTAAATTTATTTACACACAGTTTAAAGAGAGAATTATATATATATATATCATCAAAGAATTTGTCTGCAATATTTTTGACACGTAAAATTTATATGTGATTGCGATAAAATATTGCAACGATATTGCGCAACATCCTCTGTGGAATAAATTAAACTAAAATAAGAGTAATGAAATTTCTAAACTATTTGTATATATCGATCGTGGAATAAATCAATGTACACACAATACAAGACAGAAGTCTCACACGCGGTGGCTTCTTCTCTCAGTTCTACGGAGCGCGGCGCATTTTCTCTAATGTCGCTCTCTATACATAGATCGTATCTCCGGTTTCCCGCACAAGGTTTACCTTCACCTTCGGGCGATCTTTTTATAAAGATATCATCATACCGTGTGAGATCTCACAAAGCGGAAGTTGTTCATTCGAGCAACATTGCGTCGCGCATTGCCACTGATTATCTTCTCTTAGAATTACGTTAAGCGCGAATATTACGTTTAAACGCAATACTTTTTCCGATAAGAGTTGTGATCACTAAGAGCGGCAATTGAGATTTTAATGACATTCATAACAATCATATTAACCGTACGTTATTCATTAGACCGTATCGCGGGTGTATAACCGTCGTAATGGCCGGTCCTTGCAACTTGTTGCGTTCAATCTCGTCGTAAAGCAGAAATTGCGTGCATATAATCCTTTATAACGTAACGCTCTATACCATCTGCGCAATGTCGTGAGAATTATCTGATATAAATTTAACGAAGCTCTTGCATGCGATCCAAAGAATTTTATGCCCGCGAAAGATTGTGGAATTGTATTGTTTTTTTTAGTCTTGGGAATGTGAATATATATATATATATATATATATATATATATATATATATATATGTACACAGATATATATAGTTGCCGATCGCGCGTTGCTCGATATAAATCAATTATTACGCGGCAGTTTTCAATTGCGTATTATTATTAACGAAAATCAAGGCGGTCGAGAGCGGTCTTGAGTAAACGCCGTAAGTTTTTCTTTTTAACATTTTTGTTTTTCCAGTCAAGTGATTCCGGAGGATTTCGCGCACGTAGAAGATCACCCCAGGCAATCGCAATGGCCACGCTATCTTTGCGCATCTCTATACCGGAGAAAAATGCCACGAAGATGATGCAGTTTGATCCCAGCACGTCGGTGTATGATGCTTGTCGTATCATCAGAGAGAAACTTGCCGAAGCCACCAACATGGGTCAACGTAAGCCCAGTTGGAGATGTTTTATTCATCATTCGCACAGTTTTTTTTGTCAATTAATTTTTTTTCGCAAAAAGATTGTTATAAAACTTCCTGATGATATTCAATTAATGTCGATTAATTACTACGAGTGTGCGCGCAGTTTATTCTGCATTAATTCTTCGTGAGAACAGACTGTAAAAATGACGTACGAGTTGGACAGACTTGGGTTTCTCTGTGAAACCCACGCGACTTTAAAATCAAATATTTCTGTGAAAAAAATCAATAATTTTTCAATTTTGTTTTTTTTTAAATCGAAAGTTCGAACAATTCTGCGTCGATAAAAAAAACATTGGAAAAATCTCTAGTAATTTCGAGGATATAAGCGTTTAAAAATTAAAAAAAGAAACTAATTTTTACTAGAGACGCAATTTTTGAGTGGGTCTGGGAGACCCCTGTCTGTCCGCGAAGAGTTGATGCAGAATTTTATCTCGTGTAACAAACGAGCAGCCCTAAGTTCTTGTTGAAATTTAATCTACTTTGGTGGATATAAATAAAAATTAAAAATGATAATTTTTAATTGAGTAATGATTTAAATTTAGAAATATAAACAAAAGCTAATACAATGCGTAAGTTGTTGTTACTCTCTCTTTCTCTCCCTCTCGTAGCGAAAGACTACGGATTGTTTCTTGCCGATGAGGACGTGAAGAAAGGAGTGTGGCTCGAGCCCGGACGTAATCTCGACTATTACATTCTGAGGAACGGGGATTTGCTTGAGTATCGTCGTAAACTCCGTACGCTTCGTGTCCGCATGCTGGACGGGACGTTGAAGACCATGCTGGTGGACGACAGCCAGCCCGTGGCAAATCTCATGGTAGTGATATGCACGAAGATAGGCATCACGAATCACGACGAGTATTCTCTGGTGCGCGAGTTCGTGGACGAGGAGAACGAGAATCAGAAACCTGGAAATTTCGGCACTCTCACGTTGAAACGAAAGAAAGAAGAGAAAGGCGAGAGAGACGCCAAGATGGAACAGTTGAGAAAGAAATTGAAAACCGACGATGAAGGTAAAAATATGAATAAGAGATATTCTTGATGTACAGATTTCAAAAAAAAAATTTTAATTGTTGTGGGATTAAATTTATTAGATTTTCGATTGCTTTGTGATTTTTTGTTTTTGTGTTTTGTCTCTCTTCGCAGTAAACTGGATAGATCCAAGCAAGACTCTACGCGAACAAGGAATCGACGAATCCGAACCTGTTCTCTTGAGGAGGAAGTTTTTCTTTTCCGATCAAAACATCGACAGTCGCGATCCCGTGCAATTGTCGCTTCTGTACGTGCAAGCGCGAGACGCGATTCTGGACGGCACGCATCCAATCACGCAGGAGAAGGCTTGCGTCTTCGCCGGCATCCAGTGCCAAATTCAATTTGGCGATCACAAGGAAGAAAAGCACAAACCGGGCTTTTTGGAGTGAGTATCGACGTGATCTCTTACAGTGCGGTGTGTGTGTGTGTGTGTGTGTCTCGAGTATAACTTCTTGTTTTTTTTTTTTTTTTTTTTTTTTAGTCTCAAAGAGTTTCTTCCACAATCGTACGTGAAGGTGAAAGGGATCGAGAAGAAAGTCTTCGCGGAGCATAAAAAACACGTCGGGCTTTCGGAACTAGACGCCAAAGTCTTGTACACGAAGACCGCGCGGTCGTTGAGCACGTACGGCGTTACGTTCTTCTTGGTGAAAGAAAAGATGAAGGGCAAAAATCGTTTGGTGCCGCGTCTGCTCGGCGTGACGAAGGACTCGGTTCTCCGACTCGACGAGAAGACGAAGGAGATCCTGAAGACGTGGCCGTTGACGACCGTGCGACGATGGGGCGCCTCGCCCAACACCTTCACCCTCGACTTTGGCGACTACTCCGATCAATATTACAGCGTGCAAACCACCGAGGCGGAGCAAATCCTTCAACTGATTGCGGGATACATTGACATCATTCTGAAGAAGCAGAAAGCGAAGGATCACTTCGGTATTGAGGGAGACGAGGGATCGACCATGGTCGAGGACAGCGTGTCGCCGCTCAAGTGAGTCCCATCCGTGCTTTCAATACACGTTTACAACTTCTCCGACACTTTGAATAGATCGAAGTAATAATCATCATTAGGAAACTATTAGAGTAATTATCAGTTCTTGAGTTAGATTCGCCGTGAAGCAAACTGGCTGTGTTAAGTGCGCGTCATGTCGAGAAAATATTTCGCATTAGTCCGATCATGGAGGAGTTTCTTAGACGCCACGCGAATAAGCGACCCGTTTCCAATGGGTATTCATCATTGAATCAGAAATTAACTCTGTTTGAACAAAATTATTATTATATTCTACTCAAAGTTTTACACACACACACACGCATCTATTTCACTCGATAGGGCCACCATCATGCAACACGAGACTAGCAATGTCGGCAAAGGAAATGTAGAAGCCGTCTCGGTCGCGATACCAGCTGTCATGAGAGCCGGAGGAGATGGTAAGCATGTTTCGAAAAAAGTTTTATTACATGTTTTATTTTATTTTTCTATTATTTTTAGATTTGAAATTTGGGGTTTTTTTTTTTTTTTAATAGTATCTCATTGTGTGCTATTCAATAGCGATTAGATGTACAAATTATCAAAATTTTTGAAGTCTCTCCAATGATCATAACAAATTAAATATGTGTACATATTAAATTGTTATAGAGCAATATTTTTTTTTTTTTTTTTTTTTTAGTTTTCACACATGAATTTAGAATTGTAATATATATATATGTATTATATTTAGAAGAAAAAGATCAATTAGCGATCCTTTGCACGATTGAATCCTCGGATTTTAGCTATCAATATAGCTATATATATATATATATGTTCTTATATGTACATACACTTTTCACTATGTAAATACACGTTTACTTGGCTTCTAGCGTGTTTGAGATATTGCTTACGAAAAAACACAAAAGAGTTGAAATATCCAAATTATTTAATCACTAGCTTTCAATGACAAAATCCGAAGAGATTTACAGTATCGAGGACTCGATCGGGATGATCAATAATTGTAAATAGAATAATAGATCAAAAAAGCACACGGTACGATTTGTAGGAGCTCGACCGTACGGAACTGGCCACATAGGTGGTGCCCAATACACGACCGTTAGCGGGCAAGTGAACATCGCTCATGCTGCACCTATGGTAAGCTCCGTTGAAAAAAACCGCCCAAAAGCTGTGCCCAAGCTCAGCCCTTGGATGTTGATGTTTTTTAGTTGCTTGTTATAAACTTATATATATATAAATATATATATATATATATATATATACGCTTCGAAGTGTATAAGAAAAAAAAAGTGATATCTCTCTTCTGCCAAATCCCTCGGCGACGCAGTAACGACATTGTGACAATGTGAATCGTGTCGTGCTACTGTGTGTGATTATCGACGATTGATCGTATCAAGTATGAGAAACGGTATACTACGCACTTCTTTTCTATAAATATGTAAAGTCGCACTAATGAAAATCACATTGTGTTGCACATGAAAGAGCCGAAATTCTTTGTGAGACTAATAGACGGTTTAAATTTATTTTCATGCTAGGCGCCTTCTATTGCGGACACAGAGTAGGTACAATACGATAAGATGTTTAGCTATCTGGTGTGTTTTATCTTCTCTTTCAGTTCAATACAAATCTTCCGTTATTATATACATCTACAAGTTTGATTGATTTGCGTTTCGAATTTGTCAATATCGATCACTTCTTGATAGAGCATTTATTGAAAAAAAAAAAAATAAAAATTATATATATAAATATTTTTCTGTCTCTTATAATTGCTCTTTTGCGACAAATTATCAAATCGTTAATCGCGTATCGCTGCAACCTTTGTTGCAACTTACCGCTTTATTGTGTACGCTTCGTTATATTTATTTGTTTGTTGATCGTCATGAGCAAAATGTTGCATTTCCGCATTTGCGTTCAAGCGAAATATTGATAAATTATGATCAATAAAAAAAAAAAAAAATACTTTTTCGCAATATGTAAATATGTTCGAAATTAGGTCCAACAAACCAAGGTGACATCCGTCCTATCTGAACCGCAACGTGCCTTACTATCAACTATCACTGCTGGTCACGAGGTGATTCATATTGCCGAAACCGAACTTTCTACAAAGGCTCAACTGCCCGAACTTGGTACAGATCCAGCATCTCTGAAATGGATCGAACAGACAATCGACACCCACAAGCAAAACGTAGGCTCGCAGATCGCGGCGATGAACGCCGCGACCGCTCAGGTGGTCACATTGACTTCCGGACCAGCCGATGACGTCGATCATACCGCGGTGGGAGCCGCGATTACTACGATCGCTACGAATTTACCGGAGATGACGAAGGGCGTGCGAATGATAGCCGCTCTCATGGACGACGAATCGTCCGGTGAACGGTTGTTGGACGCCGCGAGAAAACTTTGTTCAGCGTTTTCGGACCTGCTGAAGGCTACCGAGCCAGAAACCAAAGAGGTGAGTTCGTCATTGCGTTAAAAACAGAAAAGTAACGGAATTAACAACAACGTAAAATTTATATATTAGATTAGGATTGTAATCCGCGATTAAAAAATTGTGCGTCACTTGATATCTTTTCTTTTTCTATGCAGCCTTTCTATGTAACATCTACACCCTACGAACAATATGTAAGCACTAACATTTCGGCTCTATGCTATTGTAGATCTGCTTGTACGGAGACACGTTGTGCAGTTCTTCCCGAGCACTTTAAGTGATGCTTTTAAACAATCTTTTAATAACTCAATATAGATAGTTATTTTACAATTACTTTTTTCCTTTCGTTTAATCTTATATATGTTTTCTATCTTCTCTTTTGTTTTTAACGTATATATTTTGTAAAATTGTATGAATTATTTTTTATTCACATTTTTAGCCAAGGCAAAATCTATTGAATGCTGCTTCGCGTGTGGGTGAAGCGTCGCATCAAGTACTGACGACTATTGGCGAGGAGGACGACTCGAATCGCGAGCTGCAGGACATGCTTCTCGCGCTTGCCAAGGCCGTGGCCAATACTACCGCTGCTCTTGTGTTGAAAGCGAAGAACATAGCTGCGACGTGCGAGGACTCCGCCACGCAGAACAGAGTCATATCAGCCGCGACACAGTGCGCGCTGGCCACGTCGCAGCTTGTAGCTTGTGCCAAAGTGGTAGCGCCAACTTTACACTCGCCTGCCTGCCAAACACAATTAATGAATGCCGTCCGCGAGGTGACCAAAGCTGTGGAACGCTTGGTACAAGTCTGCAACGAGACGTGCAACGATGAGAATCTGTTGAAAGAACTGAGCCTTGCCGCTAGCGAAGTCAGTCGCACGTTGAACGATCTTCTTAATCATATCAAAACTGCCACTAGAGAACGCGCCAAAGAGTCTATTCAAGAAGGCGCGGTGGAAACCATTCTCGTTGCGACGGACAGATTATTCGCAAGCACCGGCGATGCCGGTGAAATGGTTCGACAAGCGCGAGTAGTCGGTCAGGCTACTGCGCAACTGATCCAAAGCATCAAAGGCGAGGCGGAAAGACAAACCGATTCCGAACAGCAACAACGATTGTTAGCCGCGGCGAAAATGCTCGCTGATGCTACCGCCAAGATGGTCGAAGCAGCACGCCAGTGTGCTAGCAGTCCGCACGACGCCAAGATGCAGGATCAGCTGCGGCAAGCGGCTGAGGAATTACGAGCTGCGACCACCGCGGCGGCTATACCGGCATTACGCAGAAAACTCATCACGCGTTTGGAAGTGTGCGCTAAACAAGCCGCGTCCACGGCCACGCAATGTATCGCGGCGTCTTCCGGAGCCGCGCATCATAATACTAACCCGGCTAGTCAAGAGGAATTTAACATGGAATGCCGCACAATGGCTCAACATATTCCGCATCTGGTATCGGGCGTGAAGGGCACGCAGGCACAGCCGGACAATCCTACAGCACAATTGAATTTGATAAACGCTTCCGAACAGTTCTTACAACCAGGCACGGCTGTGGTAAAGGCGGCCAGAGCCGTGTTACCCACGGTTACCGATCAGGCATCCGCCATGCAACTCAACAACACATCCCAGCAATTGGGTTCTTCGTTGGCAGATCTTCGATCGGCGGTGACGCGTGCCAGAGAGGCCTGCGGCGGATTGGAGCTCGATGCCGCAGAGGAACTGATCAATAGCCTGAAGGACGAATTGGGTGAGTTCTATCGTGCTGTCGAAGCTGCTTCGTTGAGACCACTGCCGGAAGAAACCACGGAATCCACCGCTCTTCGACTTGGGGCCACGTCAAAGAACGTTGGATTCGCTATGGCGCAGCTGTTGTCCGCTGCCAAGCAAGGCAACGAGAATTACACTGGAAGCGCCGCCAGAGAAACCGCGTCGGCTTTGAAGGATCTCACTTACGCTGTTCGCGGCGTGGCTGCGACCTCAAATCAACCTGAGACGCAGAAGAAGGTTCTGATGACGGCCGAAGACGTGATTCTGCGATCGTTGCATTTGGTCAAGGAAGCGCGACGCGTATTGAAGAATCCCGATGATCTTGAAAACGAGGCCACTTTAGCCGCGGTAGCCAAAGACGTTTCGAACTCACTGAACAAATGCGTTTCCTGTCTTCCCGGGCAAAGAGATGTAGACGAGGCTTTACGCAACATTGACGATATGGCTCAAGTGCTCAACATGAACGAATTCCCGCAAACGAACAAGAGTTATGGGTGCGCAACTTTATATATATATACATAATGACGTTTCGCGTTTGTTTTCTCGTTTACTTTAGTTTAGTTTCGATCTCACTGCTTCGCGTACTCTTATCGGTTTTCATTAGCATATACGGTAGAACTCCAGTAATTTCGAGCACATGGGACCGATTCTTCCTAGAATTCGAAATTATTTTCTTCCCCTTCCATTTTTTTCCCCTTCCAGCGACCAACTGGTAGCAAGGAGACGAAAGATACAGTCATTGTGTTTCTCTCTTTGTTATATCTGCGCATTCTAGCGAGTTGCGCAGTCACTCAAGAATATTGGGGAATCATGAATAGTGGGGAGAAACTATTGGCCCGCCTATCAAGGAGAAGTCGAAATTGTAGTGTTCGAAATTACTGGAGTTCTACTGATAGATACTGTACTATTTCAGTTTTGTTTATTCCAGACTTGTTTTACTTTTTCAGACAACTGCAAAACGATCTCAATAACGCAGCCGCAAATCTAAACGATGCATCCTCGAACGTAGTTTCATCTGTACGTTCACCTGTGCAGCTGGCAAACTCGTCGAAGCAATTCACCAACGCCTTCGGCGACTTGTTGGGCGTGGGCATGGAAATGGCTGGTCAAACGGCGATCGAAACTCGCAGTCAGGTGGTGGTGTCCCTGAAAAACGTCACCATGACATCCGGCAAGTTACTTATAACTGCCAAATCGGTCGCGGCCGATCCGACCGCGCCGAACGCGAAAAATCAGCTCTCGGCTGCCGCGCGCGCGGTCACCGATTCCATCAATTATCTGGTGGATGTGTGCACTTCAGCGGCGCCTGGACAAAACGAGTGCGACAACGCCATCAGAAACATCCAGTCGATGCGATCACTGCTAGATAATCCGAGCGAGCCGATTTCCGACGCTTCGTACTTCGAGTGCTTAGAAACTGTCATGGAGAAGAGCAAAAGTCTCGGTGACGGTATGACCGGTATCGCAAATCACGCTAAGAAATCGGAATACGAACAATTCTCAGTCGCGGTTCGCGGAGTTTCCTCATCGATCTGTGGTCTGATTGAAGCGGCGGCTCAAGCGGCCTATCTAGCGGGAGTGAGCGATCCTACGTCAGTAGCAGGTAAACCAGGTTTGGTGGATCAGGCGCAATTTTTGCGAGCGGCACAGGCGATTCATAGCGGCTGTCAGAGTCTTGGCAATCCCACCAGTACTCAGCAACAGGTGCTCTCGGCCGCAACTATGATCGCAAAACATACCAGTGCGCTCTGCAATGCTTGCAGAGTCGCTTCCAGCAAGACGAGTAATCCGGTAGCCAAACGACACTTTGTTCAATCGGCCAAGGACGTGGCCAATTCGACATCGTGCCTTGTTAAAGAGATCAAAGCGCTCGATCAGAATTATTCCGATTTTAATCGGGAGAAGTGCGCAGAAGCCACGAAACCGCTACTTGAGGCGGTCGACAATCTCTGCACGTTCGCCAGCTCTCCTGAATTTGCGAGTCAACCGGCTAAGATATCTATCGCTGCCAGAGCCGCGCAGGAGCCGATCACCAGCGCCGGTAAATCCATCATCGATGGTTCTTGCGCCATGGTACAGGCGGCGAAGAGTCTTGCGGTCAGCCCGAAGGATCCACCAACCTGGCAATTGCTGGCCAATCACAGCAAGAGTGTTAGCGACTCGATTAAGTCGCTTGTGGCGTCGATTCGCGATAAAGCGCCTGGTCAGAAGGAATGCGACGCCGCGATTGAAAAAATATCGGCGCGAATACGCGAACTTGACGCCGCTTCGCTGAGCGCGGTCTCGCAAGCGTTGCTACCGCGTCGTGAGAACACCGTGCAAGGATTTACCGATCAGATGGAGAGCAGCGCGAGCGAGCTGCGCGAAAAACTGGAACCACTGCGCACTGCCGCGAAATACGAGGCGGAGAACGTCGGTCATGCCGTAAATCAGATCGCTCTTTATTCGGAACCGCTTGTCTCGGGCGCGATTGGCGCCGCGTCCAACATGGTACATTCAAAACAGCAAATGGTGCTGCTGGATCAAACGAAAACCGTTGCCGAGTCCGCGCTACAACTGATCTACGTTACCAAGGAATCCGGCGGTAACCCGAAGGCTGTCGCGCTTCATTCCGAGGTCGATGAAACTGTGGAGTCCACTAAGGACGCACTTCAGGAGTTACAGAATACTCTCGAGACCATATCGACGTCCGCGGGTATCGTCACTGGTCTGATTGACACAATTTCCCGCGCGATGGTCAGACTGGAAGATCAGCGGATGTCCACTATCGACACCGTGGATTCGTATGTCGATTATCAAACCAGGATGGTCGAAGCCGCTAAGGAGATTGCTCGATTGGCACAAGAAATGGTAAGCCGTGGGAGATAAACAGCTTGATGTATTTCGTAAAAGTCGCAAATTGATTGCATTGATATTCTTTTTTTATTTCAGTCGACTAAGTCGAGCACCGACGTAGCTCGATTGGGACCTTTAGCGGTCGATATATCACACAAGTACACCCAACTCGCTCGCGACACCTCGGGTGCTTCCGCCGCGGCGTCTAACGCCGATGTATCCGCGAGACTTCGCACTGGCGTTCAGGAACTCGGCCGAGCATGCGCGGACATCGTGCGCGCCGCTGGCACCTGCCAGATGTCACCCGGAGATGTGTACGCTCAGCGGGAAGTCGCGGAGCACAGCAAGATCGTGACCGAGAAGGTATCGCAGGTGTTGGCCGCTTTGCAGGCGGGATCGCGCGGCACTCAGGCGTGCATCAACGCCGCCAGCACTGTTTCCGGTATCATTGGCGACCTCGACACCACCATCATGTTCGCGACCGCCGGCACGTTGCACGCCGAAAATGAGGGCGACACGTTTGCCGATCATCGCGAGAACATATTGCAAACCGCCAAAGCCTTGGTAGAGGACACGAAGACCTTGGTGGCGGGAGCGGCATCTTCGCAAGAGCAATTGGCAGTCGCGGCACAAAACGCGGTATCGACTATCGTTCAGCTCGCCGAAGTGGTCAAGTACGGAGCGGCCAGTCTGGGCAGTCAGAATCCAGAGGCCCAGGTGATGCTGATTAATGCCGTCAAGGACGTCGCCTCCGCACTCGGTGATCTCATACATGCCACGAAAGCAGCGAGCGGGAAGCCCATCAACGACCCCAGTATGTCACATCTCAAGGATTCCGCCAAGGTAACTTCTTTGAAAGTATTTCGCATTATTTCTGCTTATTTCGCCTAATTATTGTCGTTGATAATCTGAGAACGAAATCATTTTATTTGTGTTTTCACTGTCGCTTAAAAAAAAACCCAGTCGCCATTAACCCCAATTGGACGCGCTTGATTGAGAGAATTTGCTCGCATAACGATATTATTTGGCAAGTTTTGAGAGATTAACAAAACGTCTCTCTGATGCGAATCAATCTAATAAAACATTTTAATATAACTCTCTCTAGCGAATTCCTTTGTCAATTAATTCGCAGAATATATTGTGTACTTATCTTAGATAATTATTAGAACTCACATCTCTGTCCTAGATATTTTTTCAATCCCTTCCTAGATATTTTTTATCGAGATAATCTTCAAGTCCGCAAAACGTGTGTGTGAAGATTAATGAAGAATTTGGTGTGTTTCTCTAAAATCGATTAACTCGTTGCCGATGAAGTTTTTTAAATGTCGACTTAAAATACGTAACCGTAGAGAGAATGCATATCCTTCTCAGAATCATTTTTTTTTTTTTTTGGGTGGACTTTAATTGACACATTGTGACAAATTCTTTGTCTTTTTATTTGCCTCTAACCGATCACGTTTCTCGCTCTAACTCTAAAGTATCTATTTCGAACGCGAACGAATGACAAACGTTCGTTGTCTCATCGTCGAATCATGCACGAGGTCGCACGAAAATCTGGGGCAACGATATCAAGACCAAAATATGTGATAGACGACTGTTAAAGTCCACCTTTAAGCGAACCGCTCCCTATGTTCAGCTTCGTATCTATCTTCTATGTGTGTGACATACTTGAACGACGGATGTGTTTTTATTTTTTTTATTTTTATTTTTTTATCTGGCGGAAGGCATTTTGTAGAGGATATGTTGTTTGTTTAACGATTATTTCCGTCTGTTGTTGCCACGCTTCTTCTTCTCGACGAGTGTCTTCGAGACTCGCGACAATTAGCAGTAGTGTAAATATACAATATACACAATATACGTTTTAACTTGTATATCTTGAATGTTGCCGATGCGAACGGTGGACTTTAATATGCAGTCTTATTGACGATTTTGGGTCTGGCCGATCCCGGATAGGTCTTAGAGCAACAGCTGCAGCAGCAGTTCGTGCATCTGAGCGACATGGGCGGCTCGGAATCGGAATGGTTCGTGTCCGATCAAGAGGAGGAGCTAATCCGTCTGCTTTCCACTTCCGAGAGCTCTCAACCAGCTCAACGAACGTCCGACTTGTTGTTGCTCATGTAGCCAGGGAGGTTTCCCTCACCTCCTCGTCGCCATTTGTATTTCCCATAATAATTTTATCGTTACAACACGAGATTAAAAACGCGTCGAGAGTAAAAACGATTTCAATTCAATTTGTTTGATACTTTTTGCGCAGATTTATACGACGTAGTCACTCAAATCGTATCATATCTCGGCGAGACGTGTGCCGATCTCTCTTCGCACTTGTAATAATCGACGAAGAGTTTATTTGTCAAAAATAATTTTCATTTTTTATGTGTGAGAATCTTTTTACGTGTTCTGAGAATGATAAAATAATAAAAATCGGTCTAATCTATGAGTGTGTGTGTGTGTCTCACTTTTTCCCGATATCCGCAAAGTGGACTTGATCTCTCGAGACACCTCGTGTCGTCTTGACGAATTCAATTTGTTTATAAAACGAGAAAAACATGCCTTGTCAAGCAAATCATCGATAGGTACGTACGTTTCTGTCACACCGATGCGTTTGAACTTATTAACAGACTTCTATCTCTAGTCGATTGTGTCGCTTTCGCGTAATTCCGCTTATATTATTGTCTCATCGTCAAAAAAGATTAGGGGGCGATAGGCTCGAGTAACCACGCGCCAGGCACTAATTAATCTTTATACGTATGTGTGTGTTAACATATTAATACAATATAATTTACATTTTTTATACGATATAGTTTATTTATCATTAAACCTTTAACATCACTGACTACGTGTGTTTTCGACTCCTCTTGCGGATATTAGTGTTAATATTGTAAAAAATTTTTTGACGGGATTTATGTAATACGAATGTATGTTAATGTATTGATGGATTCACACGATTTCAATTCTCATTCGTGCAGGTGATGGTAACGAACGTGACGTCGCTGCTGAAGACTGTGAAAGCCGTCGAAGACGAACACACACGCGGAACCAGAGCGTTGGAGTCCACGATCGAGGCGATAGCTCAGGAAATTCGTGCCCTCAACACCCCAGAGACCCAGAAAAGCAACGTGACGCCGGAAGATCTTGTGCGCTGCACGAAAAGCATCACCATATCGACGGCGAAGGCGGTCGCCGCCGGGAACAGTTGCAAGCAGGACGACATAATAGCCGCGGCCAACATGGGCAGAAAATCAATCAGCGATATGTTGACCATCTGTAAAGGCGCAGCTTACAACTGCGCCGAGACCGCCGAGCTGCGCGATCGTACCCTACAGGCGGGTCACGACGTCGCCATCAATTATCGCGAATTGCTTCAGGCCATTCTACAGATCTCGACCAGATCAGGCGACGCTAAACACACCTTGCCCGCGATATCGCGCAAGATCGCGCAAAGCGTGACGGAGTTGGTGGCGGTGGCGGAACTGTTGAAAGGCAACGACTGGGTCGATCCGGATGATCCGACAGTGATCGCCGAGAACGAACTACTCGGAGCGGCCGCCAGTATCGATGCAGCCGCCAAAAAACTGGCCAGTTTAAGACCGAGAAGAAGTATCCAGGTGAGTGTTCGACGTAGATTATATTTTCATTGTAATAACTATGATGTAACAGATAGCGGACGAACGAACGTTTTTTCTGATCTCCGCAAGATATGTTTGATTTTCTTGGTCGTTGTAATCGATCGACCGAGAATCGAACATATTATTACGGCGGTTGGAGAAGTCAACACATGTGCACAGCGGGTAAGTAATAGAGTAATAAATTTATGAAGAAAAAGAAATTTGAGAGAAAGTATTGTATCTCCAGTCTCTTTACATGTGATTTTCTCTTTCACCAAAAATTTGTGTTACATAATATAAATTTTTACAAAATATATATTCTCTCTTTTATTTTTTAATAGGAGGCCAATGAAGACATGAATTTCGACGAGATGATTTTGGAAGCCGCTAAATCGATCGCTGCCGCTACCTCGGCATTGATAAAAGCCGCCAGTGCCGCCCAACGGGAACTCATCGCCACCGGCAAGGTATCACGCACGCCGTTGACTAGCTCCGACGACGGCCAATGGTCCGAGGGCTTGATTTCAGCTGCACGACTGGTGGCAGCCGCCACCCACAGCCTCGTGGAATCCGCAAACGCTCTCGTTCAAGGAGTAAGCTCCGAGGAAAAGTTGATTTCCAGCGCCAAGCAGGTTGCCAGCAGCACGGCGCAACTGTTGGTAGCTTGCAAGGTCAAAGCCGATCCTGATAGCGAAAGCACGAAACGTTTGCAGGCGGCCGGTAACGCCGTGAAACGCGCTACTGATAATCTCGTACGTGCTGCGCAACAGGCTATCCAACAAGAGGAGGACAGATCTTTGATCCTAAACCGTCGCATGGTGGGCGGTATTGCGCAGGAAATCGACGCACGTTCGGAGGTATTGCGAATTGAGCGCGAGCTGGAGGAAGCCCGAGGCAGGCTAACCGCTATACGTTTAGCTAAATACAAGAACAGACCGGACCTGGTCGATGGAGACGGCGATTTGTCAGCCGAACAGAGCAGTTACCAAAGTTACACAACTCGCTACGAAACGAAAGCGTACGAGCCGCAGAGCTCACCTGTACAGGCAATGAATCACACTCTGGATCAGCTACATTCCACCACGCAGCACATCAGCCATCATTTCGCCGGTGGCGATCGACAAAATCTGGTTAGTCCGGAAAAAGTACACTCGACTCAAAGCACACTTGAGAGGAAGATGAAGGACAGCCAGTATCGATCCGCTGTGGACAATCAGTATGGATCCCTGGACAGAAAATACATCGTTGACAGTCATCAGGAGAGAAGTCCGTACGTTGTCACCGAGAAGAAGATTATTACGGACAATTCTCCCGCTCAATACAGCTCGATCGAGCGGAGAATCAATCAGGAAAATTACATAACTGAGAAAAAGGACGGACTTGCTTCGTATCCGCCGCCTCAACACATCATGTATTCGATCAAATCCCCGATTGTGAAAGAACAAACGCTTGAAGATACAAAGTTATCGCAAGATCAGTTGAAGTATTCGACCGATCGGTTCTCGAGCATTAGCCCGAGCATGAGCACGTTCCGTTCCGAGAAGCAATTGGACACTCAACGATTTGGCAGCAGCATTCCGCAACATCAGACGTTCAAGAATATCGAGAGCAAAACTATCCCCGGTGGCAGAGTCGAGACTATCACGACGAAAGTTTACTCATCCACGCCCGGCAAAAGCAGCGGTTCGAATTACGAGACCACCGAGGAGACCAAAGAGTACAAAACGTCCGGAAACGAATTGTCCACGTTCAAGGGCTTCGACAACGACTCCGTCGAGGAACGCTCGACCAAACAGACGATGCACAAAGTTACGGAGAAGAAGACTGTCACTATGACCATGTCGAGTCGGCAAGAATCCAATACCAAGACCTTTCGTTACGAAGATAAATAATTAAAAACAAAAAAACAAAAAAAAAAAAAAAACAATGATAAAGATCGATCGCACGTGTACACAATTATAACGGTAATTCTTTTTCATCCAGAAGTAATCTCAGAAAAATAATTCACTTATATACGTAATTCGTATCTATATATATATATATATATATATGGGTACAAATTATTCTCTTACCTATATTAAAAAGGGGTAGGAATGTATCAAGGTCAGCGCTTACATCGACAAACGAGTCTCCACTAACCGGTTTTTTTTATCGAGAGAAAATGCATTAAATGCATTCCTCCATCCCCGGAGGAAGACGGAGAGAGTAGACTACCATCTGGGGCTGCTGTTTGCAACAGCACCGGAGAGCCTCTGTTTCGGATCGGTAGCTTGACTTCACCACATAGTCAAACTTATCTACCGAGTTGATGACATCAGACACCAAAGAGAAGTTGCGAGACGTACTAGCTACTTGTTGTTCCACGCAAGTGGCATCAAAAAGATTGCATTTTGTCGTCAATTCAGTCCCTCAACGGAAAGATCGGCGAGTGACGAATGCTTCTCAGAATTGCGTGCCACTTGGTGAAGAGATCGAAGTTGCGCGAGTGTGAAACACGAACACGCCTGAATTCTTCACAACCCTCGTTTTTGACCAAGCTACCAACTCCACGCGTTGTTATTGGCACAGAGTCACGTCTTGTTTCTGTGCTGTTATTCGCATTTTAGAAAGATTTTCACAATTTTGGTCTCACGACTTTCCACTTGCGTCGTTCCATCTGTCTGCACGTGTAAAGAAATTTGTGTCCTTGCGATTATATTTGTGTCGTAGCGTGTTTTGACGCTTCGGAAAAAAAAAAAGAAGAAGATAACAGCGAGTCTTGTCTAGCAAATGGTTATCTAATAGGAAGTGACCTTAGAGATAGATGGACACGCGTGTGTACTTCCAATCTGCGGCATTGAATGTTTACAAATATTTCTTGATCGCGGTAAGCAATAAACAATAATATGTAATTAATAACCGTTGATTGTGAGTATCGTATAAAACGCGCTTTTTTTTTTTTTATGAAATAGGTTTCTAATGAGAACAAATTAATATTCCGCAGTATTTCAGGCTATCTTTGCGTTTTATTTGATTTTAATTATTGCACACATCTTAAACGATAGTACACACACACACACACATACACACACAGGACAGACACACGCATACACACGTGTAATCGCGCTTGGCTTAAGTAGAGTTTGTAATAATGTGTAGATAATTTTTTTTTTTTTTTTTATTTTATTCGTTTACGGTTAAGAAAACCGTGGGTTAACACAAGAGAAGCAACATATCATTTAATTTTATTAATTTTTCTGACGTCGCGCGCGCACGCAACGAGCGGCGCTCGGCAACGCGCGCGCCAGTACTACAATTAACATCTTCCGTCTTTCTCAATTAACTCTCCTTTTTCTGAGTTTGTTTGTTTGTTTTTTTTTATTATTTATTTCTTCCACACAAATCTTATCTCTCTTCCATTATTGGCGACGTTAATTCTCTCTCTCTTTGTCTCTCTCTCTGTCTCTCTCTCTCTCTGCACATTTCTATTTCCCGATCTTTACATTTTTCTACTGCGCCGCGATCTGTGTACGTATTGTATAACGTTGACTTTTGTTTACACGCGGTGGTTTGCTCTCATCATCGACGAGCTTATTTCAATCGTGAGAGATCGTACTTGATACACACACATTGTAGTGTCTAGATTACAGGCGTCGAAGTAAAGTGATCGATTAGTGCAATTATTATTAGTCTTTCGCGCGAGAGTAGATAAGACTATTACTGTATACATATATACATATATATATATATATACATATATATGTATATATATATATATACTAATCTAAAATACATTAGTGCGCGCATATATGACACACACGTGTACGTGCACGCGATTAAATTCAGGAAATTTCTGCGCGATGTCAGTGTTCGAAAAGTCGCGACACTAAACGTTTTACAACGAGAAAAAAAAAAAGTGCCTGAGCCCGATGAGCTGCCGCTTTTTTTTTATTATTATTAATACGCTCGCTTAGCGATTCCCCGCGGCGAGAAGTTTCTAATCTTACCAAAACAATGAAATGCTTTATTCTTAACAACGTGTTCTTTTTCACGAGTGTGCGACGACACTGTGTGCCAAGCATCGATCTTTTGGCCGGGCAAAACACTTGGGCAACTGACAACTTTCCAGAGAGCGACGCGCATGCTACACATTTATATTCCCGAGGCTTTTGTATTCGTATATGTATTTTATAAGAGAATCGCCCGCCGCAAGTTTCGTTCTCTCCCGATTCGCACAAACCGATACGTCTCGATGACGCTAAAAAACGTTGGTTTTTTTTTATCAACTAACTAATTTCTCTCACTCGAATCTCCTGTTTTTTGTTTCCAGCTGTGACGTTTTGTGAGACTCTTGTACGTTACATATTGATGTTTAAACACATCATATAGTATATGGTAATCGTATGGTATATGTATATAAATACACGATTATGCAAATGATCTTTAACTACGCACGCAGAAACATCGAAAGACGCAATCGGTTTTATTTTGTACAAGTTTTATAAATCGACAAAAATCGGATTTATCTTATGTAAAGAATTTTAATCGCGATCTGTTTGTGTGAATCCTTAGATGTCTAAAGGAGTGTGCCATGATATTGGAAAGTATAATTAATTATATATATATATATAATTGTACTAATTATATATATATATATATATATACAGGAAAGATATATGTGTATAAACTACATGATATACATTACACATAAAATGCCTGTAACGATCTTTATAAACGTAATGACATTTTACATTATTTTAACAATTTATATTATATATATATATATGTATATATATATACACATATATACATACACAGAAAAGATATTTGCCTGTAACGTACCTATCTTTATAAATGTAATGACATTATTTTAACAATTTATATCGTATATATATATACATACATATATATATATATATATATATATATATATAGAGAAGGTATTTTTTTAATATAGTTATTCTTCACACATTGTGTCTTATATACATAGAGTTTTAATCTTGCAGATATATTTTTCGGAATGTTACGCGATTTGCGATGTTACGTAATAAATGCTATTACGTTGCTCTTTTTACTCGCCTATTATTATTATTATTATTATTAATCTTGGTTACACTCGCAAAAGAGATATTATCGTTATTAATGATTTGCACAATTATTATTCTTCGTATCATTATTAAAATCCAAATGTTTATATTCAGTGTACACGCAGACGTATAATTGATAATAAAGAGTTTCGATCTAACACACTATCTATTGGTTGTTTCTCCTTCGAATTTTTTTAACTAAAAATAATTGAATAAACTCCGAGATATAGATATTAAGATTTAAAATAAACGATACACAGACGTGTTTAACCGATACAGTCTAACCTTTATTTACTTTTTTTTTTTTTTTATGCTTGGAAATAAAGATTCACAATAAAAGTATGTGAAGGTTGCAAACTACGCAAGATGTCTATATGTTTCGCTGAGACTTGGGAGATTAATGAGAACCGCGAAAAAAAGTGAGAATTTGAAGAAAAAAAAGGACAGAATTTGCGTCAAACGGAAAATAAATTTGATCGTGTTTTTGCAGGTGTCATTAATTGATGAGTGTTTTTTTGTTTTGACGTGAGATCTAGCTCGGTAATAAAAGATTTAAAAAAAAGTATTTGAAAAAGTCTATATCGGTAAATAAAACTTGTCCGCGCAACTGTGGAATTCTCTTCGAAGAAACTGTTGTTAGTTAATAACTTAATTTGACCAAAAGAGAATCATTCGTTCGGGTCACCGAGTTGCTTTCGCACAGTTTGCACTTTGATAAAAGACTACGAACAATGCAATCTCATGCTCAAGTAGCATAGTGCACTCCTCCAGCATTCGCTAGAAATTTCATCTTAAATCTCTTTGTCATATATTTATATTTGAAACATTTATATTTTACCAATCGTTACATTCACATATAGGAATATATTTTTGTATTATTTTAGCTAACAACAATTGAACTATATAAATGAAGACGACAGGGGAAGAACTTGATAAGTCACATTTTCGTAATTTTAGAGGAGAGCGATTTTAAAGTTCGAAACGTATAATGTATTTCTGCGTTACACGTTTGATAAAACTGTTTACATATCGGAATCTGTCAAAAATTTTCCTTTCTCGCTTTAGATAATTAAAATACTTCATTTTAACTAACCAAATAACATCAGAAACAAAAAATCGAAAAAAAATTGACTTATCAAGTTCTTCCCCTGTGGTCTTCAAATATATTTTTATATCATTACTCTATAAAAAAAAAAAAAAAAGATAAAAATATGTTAAGATACTCTATAAAGTTTGATGGATTTTCTCGCAAGTGCTTGAGAGATGCACTACTTATTTACTACTTGGAGCATGGAATGTTGTTGTGTTCATTGATCTCCTACGCAACGTGGACAATTTGAAGCAGATCGGTTTTATTCGAACCCTGAATCTCCCCTTGTTTTGTGTTAAACTATCTTTCTGTACACAAAGATGCATGAGTTGCTAATGTTTATATCATTGAGATTAAGCCAATTTGCAGTTTTCTCTCTTTATGTGTTGCACATTATTGCACTACTTCACTCTCGCTAGTAACGCAATAGATTTATGTGTTTACCGCAAGTATGTTTCTTTCGGAAAAAAATAATGATTAATTCCTCTATTTTTCAACTTCTGCGCTCTTCACTTATGTGCGTCATACAAGCAACATATAAAATGTACAAACGAGGTGTTGCAACCTTATGTGTAATCTGTGTTTTCATTTTTTTTTTTATTCGATTTTTTCTGTAATTATATCATCTTGTCTCCTTATCGTGTTTTGACGTCACTGGAAAAAAAATATATGCGTAGTACATACACGCGTACATTAATCCTCCAAGTTCCAGCGAAATATGTAGACGTTGTGCATAGTTCGCGACCTTTAAATACTTTCATTGTAAGTCTTTATTTCCAACCATCAAAACCAAAAGTGCGTTACAAAGGTCAGACTCTACCGATTAAACACATCTATATTGTTTATTTTAAATACAAATTTGTGTGCGAATGCACACGACGCGACTGTTACAATTTTTCATAATTATGTTCTCAGTTTCACAACAGATCTTAGCGCTAGTAATTGCACATACACCTTATATTTTTGTTTTTTTTTTTTTTACTAAATATGTAGCTGGAGAAGTCGGAAATGAACTTTGACGATCTTTCAAGATTATTTCAAGGTAAATTAAATTTATTTGAAATAAAATGCCACGTCCATAAGTAAAATGGTTGCTAATTTATTTGAAATAAAATTCATAATTCATGCACATACAAATAAATGTCCATAAAATGTTTATTAATTTTACTTGCAATAAAATGTACGTAAATAAATGTATGTGCACAAAATATTGCATACATTTACAATTATTCGAGGAAAAAGAAAAGTGATGCGAACTTTTATATCATGTGTCATTCAAGAAATCACCGGGACGATCAGGACTTTTTTTTTCACATTTTCTTGTATAATTTACAGAATTCATTTACAGAATGCAACATAATATTTTATTTTCTTCGTATAAGTTACATTTTTGGAGTTAATACAAGATATAATACAAAGTATAATACACGTCGCTGTTTTACATAAAATCAGTTAAATTAAATAAACACCTTAAATAAATCTAACACGTCAAAGAAAATAAATACATCTCAAATATAATTATAATACTATAAAAATAACACTCTGATCTTCAAGTCTTACGCGCCATTATAGTGACTTCTCGCTAAGCGACGTTGTAGAAAGAATAGCCATTATAGTGGCTCTCTTATTGAAGAAAAAAAAACAGTTTTGTTGAGATTATCAAATTTTGGTAATCTCAATCTCAAAATTTGGTTTTCAAAACACTTTACTTGATTTACCAAATTGTGATTATCTCAACAAAATTGTTTTTTTTTTTTATTTCAGTGCTTCTTTATCTCTCTCATTGAAAGCTGGGTACAAACATTGTTGCAATACGAGTTTTGCAGTTTTTAATATTGTTAATTCGCGGCAGAGCTGTGTTCGACACAGAGCTCCGCGGCTAGTTCGGCGAAGAGATTGAACGAAACGACCAAATTGGTGTTAGAAGAAAAAAATAATAACACTAACGCTAGCTTAAGCTTATCTTTGAGAATTCTAACATAACACACACCGCGAAGGCATCGGATTAAAATATATCTGACATTTACAACGTCTGTGTGAGATTTTCGACGTTCCGATTCTAAAGCTAAGTTAATCTACGTTTTAATTCCACGACAGATTCTTGAACATTATTCCGAGAAGAGACGAAAAAGTTTTAACGCTGAAACAGCGAGTGTGATCGTAATCTTAATGAAAAATAATCAATATGCAAAATGTTTCGAATATTTGTTTATAATATTCGCGTGTTCCTTACTCCCGAATTTGGACACCTTTTCCATCTTCGCGCAAAGCATGATGTTCAAAACGTAATGAACGTACGGAAACTTCGTCAAATGCTGAAACAATAACTTCAGCGCCGCGTACATCAATTTATCCAACAAACTGAAAGATTTGTAAAGCCGAGTCATGTTGAGCTCAAAGATGTCGCAAAGAAAATATAAATAAACTTTGAAATTGGCCGTGCCCGTAATGCAATTCGAAGCTTCGAACAAACACGTGGACATGTGCTCCCATTCCGGCGTCACGTTGCGATAATTCGGTTTTATCCACTGCTCAATCATGTCTTTACATCTTTCTCGTATTTCTTGTAAAGTGCCTCGACAGAAATTATACTCATCTTTTATACCCAAAAGATAACCCAGTCCGCGCCATAGATAACAAAAATCATGCAATTCCTCGTCGCTGGCGTATACGCCAAACTTTTCCGGATAAAGAACTATCATACTCATGCAAGCGAACTGCGTACCCCCCATGTCACCCTGATTCAAACCCTTCATTCTCGTCATTGTGTACGGGCACTGGTTCTTCAGCATCGGACATACCGAATGCTCGAAGTCCTTCGCGATCGCTTTCAGCAACGGACAATGTGTGTACTCGAGCTTGCACTTCCGATCGATCTCCTCGTCGTCCATATTGCACAATTTCCGTCTCATTGCCCCGTGCAGTCTTCGTACAGTCTGGATGTCGCGATAGGCCGGCGTGCCCTCGCGCCACGGATCGCTTATGTACCAATTCCGAAATCGCTTAATCGTCGAAAGATATCGCATGAACGCGCGATACGGACTGTCGGAATTCTGACTGAGAATCAGAGGCTTCAGTCCGTCTTCGAAGTTGAATATCTGAGTCAAAGACATCAGATTACTGATGCTGACAACGGCGTAATAGCGCAGAGCGAATTGCTGTCCCCGACGAAATTTGTCCATGTCCAACCAATCTGGCTTCTGATTCGCCGGCCGGCCGCAATCTCCGTTCTCGAAAGTCGCCGGCAATACGAATCTCAGAGATTCGGGTATGTTTGGAAAGTACTTGTCGATGTGGCTTATCAAATGATCGAACTGCTCTTTGTCGGTCCATTGATCGAAGCTGTCCGGCAACTCGTCGCCGAGCTCGCGTTTGCACGTCGCCAAGAATTTCTTGTGCTGATCGGTGAGATCGTTCGATGCTGAACCCGCGTTGCGAGATAAAGATTCACATTCTTTCATGAACTTCGAATCGATCTTATTTCCAAAGAAATTGTTGTTCTCTTCGAAATACTTTTTATCGTTGTCCATATTTGATTTCGTCGGCACAAATCGATCTTTTCGACGATAATCCGCTTATTGCACGCAATTTAAGCTCCGCTTAAGAGATAGATATTATGTCGCACACAATATCCCCCTGTTGAAAATGCAAGTTTTCTATTAGAAAAGATTTAACCGGAAAAGATCTACACTAGTGTCACTTTTGTTAATCGAATAAAAACATTAAAATAATACATCAGTAACAACAGCTACTCGTTTTTACCTTGTTAGATCAGAACTTCGCTAATTTTCTCACGTAGGCAATGGCAATTCAGATAATTGTATTCAATACAAGACCACGGATTGAGAGAAATCGGATTGAGAGAGTCTCGGATTGAAGATACACGTGTTACTTCTTCCGCCTTTAAATCTCGTCTCCTTGGTTCATTTTCAGAGAGCGATGTATTATATTCCGCGCTCTCGAGAGAAGGGGGGTTGAATTATGACGTGGAATCATGACGAAACGCGTTGTAATCAAATTGCGTGTCGAGATTTTTTTGTTTTTTTTTTATCGCGTATGGAAACTAAGTACAATCAATTACAAACATTTAACTTTATCATTTGGTGTGACAGTTGAATCATATTTTACGTATACTCATGCATTGAATAAACATGTTTTTAGACTCTGGATTTTGAAAACGTGAAAAAGAAAGACGAAAAAAAAAACGCACACACAACGACAAATATAAAAATATAAAATTGAACAATATTGTGCTAACGACAATTCGTTATCGTCCAGAACGTGATTTGGAGCACTTTTTTGTTTGTTTTTCAAGATGTGTAATTTCAATTTGATTTGAGACCTATGCAACATTCTATATTTATTTAAAAACTAATTTGCATGAAAATATGTTCGAACTTTATTTGGAAATCTCGCGTTGGTCATTACTTGATTATTACGTATAGTGTATCAATAATTTGTTTGTCATTACTGTTCAAGTTCACAGAAGGTTATCGTTCACATATCAATATGTCCACACTCGATCGTTCGATGTCATATACTTTTTTTTACTTACTCCTTCTCTTTATTTTATTGACATCATGACAACGATTTTGATTGTTGAAAAATTATTTTCACACAAAAGATTATTAAAGTTGGTTAATCCTTCGCCTGCAGATCTTCTAAAATGACGTACGTAGTTAAAACAGACTGGGTCTGTGAAACCTACGCAACTTAAAAATCTAATATCTTTGCGAGAGAAAAATATATTTTTTTGTTATTCTGTGTTTTTGAATTAACAGTTTGAACGATTCTGCGTCGATAAAAAAATAAAAAACAAATTGAAACAATCTCTAGTAGTTTCGAAGATATAAGCGTTTAAGAGAACTATATTTTTCTATAAAAACGCTGATGCGCAATTTTTAACTGAGTCTAAAAAACTCTGCAGGTGAAAGGTTAACTTACTATTGATAGAGTGACTAAAAGAATTATATTTATTATCTCTATTTCTTTTTCATAAAAAACTGTTTTTATTATTGATCCGAAAAGCAAACACTAAGATTCTTCTCAAGATCATGAAAGTACGTACTTCGATCTTGTCTTACAAGTTTTGACGATACATGTTTTCTCTAATCGTTTTTAAAAAAAAAAAGAAAATCATGTAAAATGAGATGTTCTCTGGTAACAACACTTTCAAAACGGCGAGTGACAGATAGGCAATTCGAACCGAGTGAAAGATGTTACGTAAATAAATTTTCAATAAAATTAATTCTCCGCACGTTACGACTTTATTCTTTCAAGTTATCATCAGCGGAAATTGTTCTACACAATGTTGTTAATTTTCACTACGTTTACACGCATTCTTCCGCCAGAGTAGAGATAACAAAATCTAGATCACTATGAAGCATTACAAAAAAATTTACACTCATGATGACTTAATAGAATAATGTCGAAGCGTATACGGAGAGTTAATTTTATTGAAATTTATTGCATATCCCGGTTCGAGAATTGCTCATCTATCATACGCCGTTTTTTGAAAAAAACGTTGACTTTTTATCAAAATCACAATTTATAACCATAAATTGTTATAAAAAACAAAAGAAATATAGTTATTATAAAGTATCTACATATATAAGACGTATCTATATTTCTATATAAAAATAAAATATTTAAATAATTTGTATAATGTATTCTTTAATTGTATCATAAATAATATTGGAATACATATGTAAGAACAAATGAGAAAATCTACTAAAATTCTCATTGATCGTATATATTTTTAATTTAATATCAATACGAAACATTAAGAGAACATCTGAGGCAAAACTTTTCAATTCTTTCACGCATATACAATTCTGAAACTTATTACTTAATATAGTTTTAACAAATATATTAAATTAATTCCTTTAACAAACATATATTTTAAAAACAAATATGAACACATGAAAAAAAATCATATAAATCAGAATAATATCAGAATAATTGATCAGAATTTATTTGACATTGAAAATATAAGAAATTTTTACGTACTGATATGAGACTTCGATGAAATTTTTTTTCATCAAAATATTTATCTTGTTATGGTACAGTTAAACTCACAGAAATTGCGATTCCATGAAATCTCAATTCTCCGTCAGAAATCAAACTTATCTTTCTGTTTTTGATTGGCGATCGAACTGGTCAACAAGAGACGAAAGATGATAAATATATTTTTCTTTATGTTAAGATTTCTTTTCAATAGTTATCCTCTGAACAAAGATATCTATCAGAAGATTTAATTAAGTTAACAAACTAGATATATAAGCTGAGCTGTTAAATTAAAAAGCCGGATATAAGTTTTATATGGAGGTAAAGAAAACAAAATTTTGAGAGAGATATATTTTGAATAATATTATTGAAGACTTCAGGAAATGAAAAAATTGGACATTAGACTCTTAGAATATCTCTTAGACGACGTGTTAGAACACACGTGTTTTTTCTTCTTTGGCGAAAAACGTGTGTTCTAGCACGTTCACGTCTGAAGCACTCAAGATTAAAGATTGATTTATCACTGAGAAACCTGATGACCCATTAAAAAACAAAGTCAACATTTTGATACTCGAAATTATTACAAAGCTTTATTATATATAGGTATCTTAATTGTATTGTGAAATTGGCTTTATAAACATGGATTTATAATTTATAGATATCTGTAAAAAGTTGTTTGTTGAAATATGAAAAACATATTATTAAAAATATCATATTATATATATGTATACATATTATACATATTATATTATATTATATACATATTATATTACAACATATGTGTTTTTATATTGAAGAAGGTTCTTATTATTATTGCACTCACATTTTTACATAAATATATGTTATTTGTAATGTTAGATAAATCATGAAACATAGTTTTGAGAAGAAAATGTAAAACAAAAGAATAAAGACATTATCGAAAGACGTCACGCAGCTTCGAATAAGCTGTTTTGATTGCAACAAACGTCACTGCATAGAATGATTTAATTCGGGAAACACAGTTGCGCACATGATTGCACACAATTAGACATCAAGAGGAAACTTCTCTTTCAAACATTCTATAGACATACGTTTATTGATTTTTTTTTTTTAAGATAGTTTCCTTGCAAAACCACTTTTCTATAGAATTTAATAAAACTTAAATGGAATGTTAACAATAATGATTTACGTGACAAGAAAGAGTAGAAAAACAACACGTGAAAATAACGTGACTGTAATTTATATTATATATAACATTAAATAACACATATTATACGTATAATTTATTATATATTTATAATATTATACTTTATATTGTATTATATGTATTATATACATACTACAGAGTAATGTCATTGACCTCGGCCGCGCGGCCTTGGCGGGGTCACTGACCTCGGCCGCGCGGCCTTGGTGGGGGGGGTCACTGACCTCGGCCGCGCGACCTGGACGGGGTCAGTTGCGTTCACTGATGCAAACACATGAAAATGAAAATAATAATAGCGTGCGCTTGTGTTGTACTAGTAATAAAAACAAGCTCTTGCTTATTGTCATATGAGTAATGTGCTGACACTAGATTTCACTTTTGAATAGAACGCGGAACTACCTTAAGTCGGTATATTTCAGTTTGTTTGACTCAATTTTCCATGAAATGGCATATCAGGGGTATATCTTGCGAACACACGCTACCATTTCGGCTCGGCTTTCGGCTCGGCGAGTCGGTACACTCTTGACTGTCGGTACACCCTCGACTACACGCGTGCGCTTACGACCACGCTTTGTTTTGCGTGTAGTCGAGGGTGTACCGACAGTCAAGAGTGTACCGACGCGCCGAGCCGAAAGCCGAGCCGAAACGGTAGCACGTGTTAGCAAGATATACCTCAGGAATCCCATGAAAATTTATCAAGAGAGCGTATAATCAATATGTCAATTATTACAATTTACGTTTAATGTGGAGTAAATAATGTGTAGCTCCGTCATGTCATATGTATCACTCGTGAAGAGTGACGCGCAGTGACGCGTGTGGTGGAGGAACATTGCAGCGCAACTATAATAAAAATCGTATAATCATGACTGCGGCAGAAGTCGAGGATGACATTTACACGGGGTACAACGAATATTCGTCGGTGTACGATCTCACAGAGCTCGAGCAAGATGAAGTGTTTCAGGAGGCTATTAAAACAAGTTATGGAAAGAGATCAGTGGCAAGTTTTTTGTTGAGTTATTTATATTTCTCTCTCTCATGTATATATATTATAGTACAAATGTAATATACATTTTCTTTTACTTTATACATTATCTTATTTCACTGACATCTTGCATTGACAGTTTACTCCAAAGACCCCAAGTACTGCAATGCGTTTTGGAACATCAAGCAGAGTAAGTACAAGACACATTCACATAATTTAATTTATTTCTAGAATCTCTTACACTTCTGTCTTGACATTTTATTTTTTGCATATAACACGAATAGTTCAGAAACATATAATCAGTCTTCTTTTGTGATTCTTCTAGTTTCAAAGAGGTGGTACTGCTGCATCCATGCAACCTATGAGTGGACTTAGACCTATGACAGCAGTGAGAAGTGCTGGATACACCAGCAGCAGTCGGCAAACTTTTGATCCTCTCAACATGGGAAGTAATGCCAAAGTTCCTGCACCAGCATTAGAAACCAACAAAGACACGTAAGATATTTCATATGATCGCAAATTTGTTAATAAATAATTTTGTATTCTGGATGTAGTATATATAGAATATGACTGTTTTTTGTTTATATATAAACATGTTTTTTTTTATTTTTCCAATTAAGGCCAGAGGAAAAAATAAAGACGGCAGAAAGAAAAATAATGGCTCTGATAGAGAACTCTGCAGAGGCAGTTTCTGAGAACAATGTGAGAATTGCGTTAGAACGTGCGCGTGAAGCTTCCTCGAGGGAGAGAGCTCTCATACGATTGCAGGAACAAGCTGGTCTAAGTGATAATCACAATATAGACTTGACATTTGCTGTAAGCTTGAATTGCAATGTAATTGATTCGTTTCAGTTACTTAGAGATTCATTTATTTTTCATATTCTGATTACTTTTTAGGTGCTTTTCAATCTGGCGATTCAATACACAAACAACGAAATGTATACAGAGGCTATAGCAACTTACCAGGCTATAACAAGGAACAGAATGTTCAGTAATAGTGCCAGGCTCAAGGTTAACATGGGTAATATTTATGTGAAAATGGGCCAACTGTCTCAAGCTATCAAAATGTACAGAATGGCGTTTGATCAGGCTCCAACAGTTCACAAAGATTTAAGGTAATAATATACTTCTCATAACATGAAAGAATACATATCAGAATGTTTACAAGCGGATGCTGTCTGTGACTTATGTTCAGGAGTGATTACATTGCGTCATAACATGATTAATTCGACAAAAATATTTCGCAGAATAAAGATTATGCATAACATGGGAATGTTATTTGTGCAAATGGGTCGATTAGAAGAGGCAGCTAATAGTTTCGAATGGGTGATGAGAGAGAGAGCCGAGTTTAAAGCGGGTTTGCATGCCGTTTTGTGTCATTTCGCGTTGTCTCATCGCGATAAGATGAAAAGAGCTTTCTTAGAACTACTAGAAGTACAGCTTAACATAGAGGAGGACAAATATAATATAAATCCCGTGAGTTTGTCACGTTTGTACTCTCTTCTTTTGCTAAAGCTGCGCATTTTTCAAACCAATTGTCCACATCTGCACTGCTACGCGTCACAATGTATGTATGTGTGTGTGTGTGTGTGTGTGTGTGTGAGTCTGATCGTAACACAAAAAGGTGCACATATTCTACAAATAATAATATATAATGACATTTTTTTAAATTAAAAACATCACTTTTTTATCAAGAATGTCAAGACTTCTCTTCATCCTTTTTACCTTTCGTAATAATTTGTTTGTTTGTTTACGTGTATCAGTTAAGTGATTTATGAGAAACACGAACTTGCTACACCGTCACATTAACGTACCTGATATATATAGTTTGATTTTTCTATACGTAGGATGATGCTGCATCCACTATATTAAATGAACTTATAAAAAATGACGAGCTGTCTAAGTTGGAAAAGGAAATGAAAGTTGAAGCCGAAAAAACGATACTTTGCGCAGCGAAGCTCATAGCGCCTGTCATCGAGGATACACTCACAGCTGGATTTGCTTGGTAAATTTTGAGAAATCGCATTAATTGAAGATTTACATGACGTCATTGTAAGATGAAGTTTCTCGAATCCAACTTTTTCCGCACGTCGATTTTCAGGTGCGTCGACGCCATAAAATCCTCGGCTTACAGCGCTCTGGCCGCCGACTTGGAGATAAACAAGGCCATGGTGTTTTTGCTCAATCGAGAAACGCAACTGGCCATAGATACGTTAAAGATGTTCGAGAATCGCGACACCACAGCCAACAGCGCAGCGACAACCATGCTTTCGTTTATCTACTATCTCGTACGTGAGTCGTATTTTTTAAATGTTTGCGTAAAATCTTATCAGTTTATATCTTTATATCTTTAAGTGAAGAATTTTTGTTAGCAAGGAGATTACAATCAGGCTGAAAAGTATAGCGAAGCAGCTCGTAACGCCGATGCTTACAACGCGGCAGCCTATGTCAATCTATCCGCCTGTGCGATTAAAAGAGACGATTTGAACATAGCTCGGGAGCTGTTGTTGTACGCATTGGAAACGGACGCCAGTCACGTACAAGCTCTGTACAATTTAGGTAAAACTTTTCCAACAATAATCTTCTACACTTGATTATCTTAATATCAATATATCACACACACTTCTCTTATCAGTTAATGCAAACATTGTTGTAACTATTAATGCGTTTCTTACTAGGCTTGGTTTATAAAAAACAGAACATGTACGAGGAAGCTTTGGAGTGTTTCTGGAAAATTCGTAATATCGTTAGACACGATCCGCAAACGTTATATCAAATTGGTCATCTGTATCAGCTGCTCAACGATACTGACCAAGCATCCGAATGGTATAAAGTGCATCACTTTGCGAATGTAATTTAATAATGAATGTAATTTAATTTTCAATTAATTTAAATGTTGTTTTTTTTTTTATTATTATACAGGTATAATCAGGTATTGGGAATAATATCGTCTGATCCGGGAATTTTTCAAAAACTCGGAGAACTGTATGATTCAATAGGAGATAAGCAGCAGGCATTTCAGTTTTACAGTGAAGTGAATACTTTTTCTTTACTTATTATTTTTTTTTTTTAATCACTCATTACATTTGTCACTCATATTTATTATTGCAGTCTCACAGATTTTATCCCGCCAATTTCGAGGTGATAGACTGGCTCGGATCGTATTTCATATCGATGCAGGTGCATTTATTTTGCCATTATAAAAAACCACATTACAACAATAAATTTAAGATATGTATTTACACTTAGTTTTTTTTTTTTTTTTTTCTTATCTGTAAAGATTGCTGAAAAGGCGCTGCCTTATTTCGAGAAAGCGGTTGAACTCGCACCGGACGAACCGAGATGGAGATTGCTGGTTGCCGCGTGTTTAAGACGCACTGGACAATTTCACAAAGCTCTCGCGGAGTATCAAGACATTCACAATAAATTCCCGGACAACATAGAATGTCTCAAATTCTTAATCAGATTGTGCAGCGATCTAGGTCTGAAGGAAGCGCAGACGTACGCGGCTGAATTGAAAAGAGCCGAGAAAGCTAAGGAAATGAAAGACAGGCAAGGCTCAGCGAGACCGGGAACAACAGGATCCAGAAAAAGTAACAGCGGAACCGGTTCGCGAGCCGGTTCGGGATTGAGTGTGTTGTCAGATCACAGACCAAGTCCAGATCGACGACCGATTTCAGGTCGGAACGATTATCAAGGTGAGATAATTCGAAACTTCGACAATAATTGTTTTTTGTGTATATATGCAGCTTTTGTTTTGTACTCATGTTTTCTACAAAAAAGTCCGATAAGAGCTTTTATCGTACGCGATTTTAATATAGTCTCTGTGTGTGGAAAATTTAGCGGCCGTTCAGTTAGTAATGGTTTAGCATTACAAGCTTTCATTGAAAGCAAACAGCAAGAATGATCTACAGATAGTAGAGCTACACGAGCTTCTCTAATGGATTGAATAGGTGATCGATGACCACTTTGACTAGTCTATTTTTGATCTCTCTTTATCACTTGATACTCAGCACATTACTGATCACAGAGCTATGATTCTAAAGATGGATATTACTGACATATTCGTGTTTATTATTTGCGTGCAAAGAGCAACAAGTGTAATATTTATAGTCATATGACACAGGACTTTAAAAACTCAACTGTCTATAACATGTCGATCATTTACGTCGATGTTTCTTATGCGAAAATTATACAATTGCTTCTTCAGGCGCGAGTTCAAGTTACGCGGATCCTTTGGGACCTCTTCCTACACGTCCCATGACAGCAGCTGGGAAACGAGATGATGATTTCGGCGACGAAGAACTCGGGGATGATCTTCTGCCGGAGTAATACCGCCTTTTGTTTTGTAACAAAGTTAAGTTTGTTGAGTAGATTTATATATTTTCTGATGAAACTAGTCATAGAAGCAGCAAATAAAATGTATCGGAATTCTATCAGAATTCCGATAAAACTCTTGTATTATTCTCAAGAATTATTTATTTTAATTTCTTTGTGTTTATATACATGTGATTTTAATACTTCAAACATTAATAGGACTGAGTCGCGGTAATTTATTTCAGAGCGATTTACGTCGTTACGAGAGAGAGAAATTGGTCATTGGTTTGACATTTTATTGACCCTGTGTCATTGCCCCTTGCGATTCGTGGAATTTCTCTTATTGCACGTTGCGTATATCATAGAATTACAGAATTGACGACATATGTGATATCCTATTTCGCACAAATATATCACGAACGACGAAAATATTGTACATTTTCTCTTTGCTTCTCAAAACTACAATATTTTTATTAATTCCATATTTCAATATAAAATTATTTTACATTTGTCATCATACGCATATTTTTTCACATTTATCGTAAAACTCGCTTAGATCAATTAAAACAAAACAAAATAAAAAATTAACGCGTATTGTTTACACTTAATATTTTATTTGATCCCTGACTGGCTACGCGATATGTCCCGATCGAATCGAATATATGTTTAAAGATATATAAGATTGGCTCTTCACCAAAGGGGAATGATTTACGGGACCTGTTAGGGTCGGCCACAATTGCAACGATCTAAATTTAAACACATTGGCTGGTTTAATCAAACTCCATTCAGAGCTTATGTAGTCTGCAAAGACGGATGTTGCTTCATTGCTTCTCTATATCTACGCTCGTGTGCGCGCAACAATGTTTTATTGGACATTTTCATGCATTTTCATGCATCAGAATCGCAGAGTTGCAATCTGGCAGCACATTTTATTCGAGCGCGTTTTTTCCACATCTAAAAGTCTCGTATGCGTGTAATTTGTTTTTTTAAATTGCGATTCTTTGCTCTTCTCAACGGAGGATGTGTTTTAACTTTTTTTACAGAAGTATCTCGTGTAGAGAGAAAATAATTTTACGGTACGCGCGCGAGTTTCAACATGTTTGAGAGCATGTACACAAACGCGAGAATATCGAGCGCTTACTGGAAATCATGTATTATCTCTTCTCGTCAAACAATGTTGTTTAAACTTATCATTAAGATACTTATGACAACTTAACAAGCGCTCGCATATATTAATGCACGCATACTTCCATGTTCAAATGATAATTTGCTTGGCAGATGAGGTCAGTAGCAGCAGCTACTTGCTCATATCCATTAAACCGATATTTTTTTGTTCGAAGAATACTACGTGTGTTTTTCTCGACGGACTTGAAAAAATAAACTCTCTTGTTATAATTTTTTTCTCTCTCTCTCTCTTTTTTTGTCTGTGGCAAAAAAAGAAAAAAAAACCTTCAGACACTTATCTCCAGCGTTTTACTCCTCGTTCAGTGAGAGATTTAATTGTTACGTTCTCTTCTGGATTTTTGTCCTTTTTTCCTTCTCTCGCTATATATAACAATTGATATACAACATCGATAATAACAAGCTGCGCTTTAATCTTCGATTTTTCCCTTTTTTTTTCTCTCCCGTTATATATAACAATCAATTGGATATAACAAATTGATAATAATAAGCAGCGGTTTCAATTATGTATTTTTTGCTCACTCGAATAAGGGTTAACGTTTGAACTCATCCTTGACAATCACAAGCACGTGCTCTCTCCGTTAATAAAGTAGTTTTAGTGGATCCGATACTTCGGTCTCATCATGCGTGCGAACGATTCTTCGACCAATTCAAAGTCGATTTTTTTTTTTAACAAAAATATTGGTCTATAAATATACTTAGCTATAAATATTTAAAGAAATGTGCCGAACATTTTACCAACACCGGAGAGAGAAATACCAATCGAGACATGTAATCTCATCAGTTATTCATTATCGAGAAACGAGATATGCCCGATGTCGCCTCTCAAGTATTCGAAAGATACTTCTCATCAAGTTCGATCAAGAATAAAAAATAATCTCAAACAAAAAAAAAAAAAAATAAACAATCTCTATGTGATCTCTACGCATTCGTCCAACAGGTACGTGCGAAGTTCGACTACGTAACAACAATTAATTCCGCAGCGGAGTGCGTTACGTGATCGCGCGTAAACGTCTGTTTACGTAGACGTCACGCGGAGACACCGATATAGGTAAGACTCTCTCGCGCGCGTTTTTTTTTCACGCGGATGCTTCGCGCGTCGTTCGTCTACGCGCCGCCGTCGCCGTCGAGGAGTAGTGATACGGGCGTATGCGTGACGTGCGCGAACAGTAGTGGTGGACGCCGAGGGGGCCAGCCGCGGTTCGTGAGGAACTCACTCCGAACGGACTTCGGAGGCACGACCAGCAGTAGTCGCCTCCCGACCGTAGCCAGCGCAATTCACGCCTCCGTGCCCGTCCACGTGTGCGTTATCCGCTTGAAAGGAAACACTTGCGTCTTTAAAGAAACACACTCGCGTGCGTAGCGACAGCTTGTTGCATCGATCTGGAGAGGAAAAAAGAGACTCGCCGAAGGCGCGTGTGCGATCCCATCCCATCACAGGTACTGTATCATCATAAAAACACCGTAACAGCAGTAGTGTCGCAGTTTAAATGCGCTCGGGATTCCGTGACCCGGAGCGATTCTCTCTGGACCGTATATATATATATATGTATACATATACATCAGTATCGATATCGGGACGAGGGATTTATTTCACGGAATAACGAGCACAGTTGATTTTTTTTTTAACGTCAGTTTAGTGTTATTAAGTAAATAATGGTGGGAAATAGCGTAATTTCTCTTGATCGATGTGTTTTTTTTTTTTTATAGTAAAACAAATACTCGCAAATGTGTATATGTATACATTATACATATATATGTATTCTTGTTATACATGTATATATTTTTACATATGTACACTATATATGTATATATTTTTATCGAATAAGACGTGATCTTATTGACGAGTTTTGTTTTGAAACAAATTTGTTTCTTTATTAAAAAGTTACGCGAAATTTGTAAACGTAAAACGTGACGTATTAAACGAACGTTTAACAATTTTTGCACTTTTCTCATCTCCCTTCTCTTTTCGTGATACACGTTCGTCGAAGTAAGCGCAAGAATTCCTAAAAGCCGCATATTTCGAGCGCGCAACATTTAGTTTTTTATGGTGAGTTTTTTTTTCGTTTACTTTGATACTTTGATAAAAGAGATCTATTTTTAGGAAAATCTTATATTTTGTTTCCGGATGCTTCGAAAGAAACAACATGCGCGACCTATCGATACGTTAGAGATTTCTACTCGATTTAATTTCCAAGAGTCTTCCTTTTGATGTTGTGACAATTTAATTGTTTTTAATACGAACACACAACAATTCTCTCCGATTCAAGTCGACTCGCGAAAATAATCATATTTCACCGGCACTCCAATCCTTACAAAACAAAGTGCGCGAAAATCTGTCACAAAAATAAATCTAGGCCGTGATATTGTAAAAAATCGCCGGTGATCTCTTAAATGTCTTTTTTCTTTCCCGCCGCGGCTTCAAGGACGCAATCGCGGTTTTCCCAAACAAAACGCGTACGTATTCGCGTCGTATATTTTGCTTTTTATTTGAACAAGAACCGAAAGAGAATGTCGATTCGGTTTTTGCACCAACTTGTGAACGTTTTTCTCACCGTCAGCTCTAAAACCACGTGGGTAAACAAAACAGTGCGTATAGCATGTGTCACCGGTGGATTTTAATCCGATTTGCAACACACACGTGACACACCGTTCGCCAGATTTTTTCGCTCCTGTATTTTTATGCGAATCTATCAATTGCGCGTTTTTTCTCGCACGTTTCTCTCTCAATCGATACCGGATCGCGTTTTCCGCTCCAGCGATGATTTTTTTATTTTTAGAATCGCGCATTTGATTTCCGATAGCTAATTCGTTTTATCTATTTCGCGTTGAATGTTAAGTAGCTGCTCGATATTGTTCGACCTAACGCGCGTGTCTGTGAGATAAGGCGCGAGGCTGAGTAGCAAAAGTGTACGAAAATTTCCACAGTCGCTTAAACAAAACGAAAAATTAATATTTGCCAAGCTAATGTAATTCCCGACTGGCGACAATCGTTGGTTGTGTGTATTTAAATTTACTTTCCACTTGGAATTCTCAAATTCGATACATCGATCTTTTCTCTCCTCCAAAGATCTCGAAACAATCAACGAAACGTTTCGCTCGCGAGATATTTGATTTTTTTTTTTTTGTCTTTTGGTTTTTTTTACATCTTGTAACACTACTGTGCATTCGCCTTGTGTCCGCCGCGAGAAAAAAATTCGTCCGAGTGAAAATATGCAAATGACATTCTAACGGACATACGTTTTTGCGCGCGGCGGCAATTTGCGCGCAAAAGCGACAGAACGAACGAACGCGTTCAGAATCGCTTCAAGGATGTTAGAACTTTTTTTTTTTTTTTTAAGTTGATAGCGCGTTGATAATCCAGTGATGAGAGGTCTCTAATTCTTGACCGCAAAAAGAAAAAAAAAAAAAGACCAATAAAGTGCGAACGCGCGGTTTTTATCGTCGCGCGCGGATTTCGAAACGACATTCATCACGTAATTGGACGCGGAGATCGTCGGCGATGATATTTCGACAAGCGTATTATATTCGTCAAAAAGACGCGCTAGATTAGACGCGATAAAAATCGAGGAGCGTCGCAATTCTCTCGTGTCTCTCTTAGCCGCGGCGCGAAAATCGTTTCAACTTGCGTCAGTCGCGTGACACTCGACGATGCGCATAACGTAGTTTCACTTGACAGAAACGTTATCGCGCCCAGTGTCATTTGTGTGTTGCAACTTCGTCTTTTATCTCCTCGCCCGTCTCTTCCGTTCCGAAGAAATTTATTGCTCGCGTCCTCCGCTTGGACCGCAATGTTATATTTTTGCAATGGCGTTGTTGAAAAACTCGCTATTGTTCCATTCAAGAAGATCTCTCGCTCGCGTTCGCGGAACCGTTGGTTAAATTTCATCGCTTTTGTCCCGCGTAAGAGAGGAAATTGTCAGTCACAATGTAATCTCTTCGTTAACGAGACCCGCTTCTGTTGCATTATTGATCTTTGTTTTCCGTTCGAAAACAACAACGCACGTTTTTGCGTTGACTCCCGTACGTACGTGTGGGGTTAAATATTTTGCGCAACTTGAACATATGTGTATATATTTCGCGATCCCAGGGATTTGTTTCCGGTGCCCTTGCCGCGACAATAGCCGCGAATTACGGAAGGCTTCATTATTCAAACGGCGGGATTATTTATGAACCAGGCTCTTTAGAGAAGTGCACTCGATTAGATAACCGGAGTGCACTTGACGCCAGAGTCTAATCTTGAAGAGTCGTACAACATCGACCGCGACATGTACGAGTTCGAAAACGCGCAACGTTGTAACAAAAGATAAAAACCACACATGTTTTTTCCTCGATCTCAATTAAAGTCGTCGAAATTGCGTCAAACACGACGCAATTGAGCGCGAAACACAATTTTTTTTCATAGACAAAAAGAAAGAAACAAAAGTAAAAGCTGCGTTGCGTATTTTCCCACTTGCTTATCTGTGTTCAAGTATGTTTCACACTTTGACGCCACTTGCGGCGGCCATTTCTCGCACAAAAACTGAGGGATGTGCCGCTTGACGTTTTTCTAAAAAAAAAAAAAAAAAAACAACAACAGAAAAGAAATTGAGACACAAGCTAGTTATTTATATTCCGATCTTATATTTCGAAATCGTCTTAAGATGTTGCGCGAGTCGTTTTATTGACCGCAATACCATCTGAGAAGATGAACTCTCGGGCAATTCTTAAAATGTGTAAGATCCGACTGTACACATGTGTAAATATCGATAGCAAAAATCTTTTTCGCAAAAGTTTTTGACACAAATAAAAATGACGCTTGAATTTTGATTTCCATATTCAACTCGTTTTCAATAGAGTTGAGTGTATTGGGATTCTTGCAAATTCCGATTGATCTCGCGCACAAGACTTACGTCAGATTTGTTCAATCACCGATGCGCGCTGATGGATGTGGAGTGTGATAAATGATGAAGGATGTAATAGGAAGCGGCAGATAACGGCGTCGTGTTACAGAAACTCATTTTTTTCAATCAAACGCGTTTTCTTTGCTCGTCGGCAATAATCAACGCGAGAAAGAGAGGAAGGCACGCAGCGCCTTCCCGCGAAATGTCCGCGAGAGAGCGACGACGAGTGTGCGTGTTGCACTCTCGGATTAGAACGATTACGGCGGGTCAACTGGCTAAATTATCCCGGTTGACGTTTTGCACCTTCCAATTGATTTCAATGGAGTCTCATTCGCCATCGGTTTGCAGCAAGGCTTGCTCGGCAAGAGAACGTTCTAGTCGCGTTTTTTCCGCCACCTGACTCGGCGGAGATTTTGCTTCGATTCTGAACAAACGCGCGCGCGCCGTTTACGAATTTTTGCACACAAATGATTTTCACATTCTCGCATAATTTTATTAAACAAAGGTCCCAGTGATCGAACAAAGTGCCACTGGATTTAATAAAAAAAATAATTATAACAAAGTATTTTGTATATTAAAGCTAAAAACTAATTAAAAAAAAAAAAATAATTAAAATAATTATAAATTAACCCTTCGTGGACAGACCTCAAAAATGAACTACCAATTGGACAGATTGGGTCTGTGAGACCCACGCGACTTCAAAATCGAATATCTTCGCGAAAAACCAACATTCTTTCAATTTTGTTTTGTTTTTTTTTTGAGTCAAAAGTTTAAACAATTCTGCGTCGATCAAAGAAACAAATCGAAAAAAAATCTTTAGTAGTTTCCGAAGATATTAAAAAAAATTTTATTACATGAATTTTTACTAGAAAAGCACCTATTGCAATTTTTGAACGGATCTGAGTGACCCGTGTCTGTTCGCAAAGGGGGATAAATATTTTATAAAACATCTAAAACAATGAAAATTGTTATGACTTGTAATCGCATATGTAATACTTATTTCTTCAATAAAATGTTTGGCTACTTTGTTCGGTTATCGAGACGTTTACTTTACCTTTTAAAGATAGAAAATTTATATAAATACTGCGGTGAGCGCGCAATTTCCCCGGTATCTTGGTCGAAGAAACAAAACACAAACAAAACACACTGGTCGGGAAAGGGTAAACATGCGGTTAAAATGAAAAAAATGTGAGAGGCGAGCTTCGAAACTGACCAATCGAGTTCACGAAAGACGACCGGTTTTCAATTTTCACGGCCTCGCAATACATGCAAATGATCCGGCGATAAACGAGTCGTTACACACACAACACATATCGTCCGATGCTATAGCACAGACGATACACAACCGAGATAACTTGATATTCGAACGACTGAATTAACATCCATTCAAATCGGATCTGTTCGCAAATTGTTATCGATAAGACCGTTTGAAAAAACTCCATACAAACCATACAAAAAGATTGGAAACCATGCAAACAATGTACGGTGAAACGTTTCATTCAGACACATTGAAACTGTTGGTTTGTTTGCGCGGCGTTTTAAAAACCGTTATGCAAAATATTTGCGTGCATGTGTGTGTGTGTGTGTGTGTATAATTACGCTCCATTTTTATAGTAAAAGAGCTCACTATTATCTTGACGACAAGTCAGCGCTGTCGTATATGTCACTACTGTGTGATTTAAAATAAAATCAATATACAGTTCGCAGTACAATATTGTTAGTTAGTTGTCCGGTGAATAAGTAATAAGATAATAGCGAGTCATTTTATCAGGGAAAATAACGGAATATATGTGTACAAAACCTTTTGCATAATGATTTCTAAAATAAAGTAAGTATTTTTTTTGCGCTATAACGTTCCATTTGTTTTCGATCTTTCATTAATCGCGAACGTTACTTAATTGATTTATGGCAACGCAGAATGATATGTTACGGCGGGAAGATTTATCTCTTAGACTCGGATATGCGCAATTTACGAGTGTGTGGCAAACTGTGTTATCGGGAATTACGTATTCTGGACTTTTCCCCTCGTTTGTAGCTTTGCGAGCGAAAAGATTGAACGTGTGAGATTGTACGACCATATTAAATTGAAATAAGAAAACATCGAGTTTTGATTAAAAAACAAAAACAAAAAAAAACTATAATACGAGGTGGAAATTACGTATGGAAGAGGAGAGAGAGAATTTGCTCGAAGAATTTTTTCGGAATTGTGAAAATTCGACAAATTACAAACATAAGAATCGAGTTCAGTCACAATCAAGAACATTAACAAGATGAAAAAAAAAAAAAAAGACAACTTGACCATTTCTCTTCTTGAGAAAAACAAGTGAATCGCCACGTGAATTGTCGTTGTCAGTCTCGACTTGAAGAAGGCAGACAGACTCGATAGATAACGATTGTGCCCTCGTCGCACCATCCTACGTCATGTTTCTTGATAAAACTGTGGCATCTTCGACCCTGTGGATATATAAAACGCCACGATTAAGAGAGATTCGCGCCTATTGCACATTACTACATCTTGGCGATAACAGAAAGACGGTAATTTAGATAGCGGTTGTGTCTTTGCAACATCCGCAACACGATATATTTGGAGCGTAACGTAATATTGTTATTGCAACATGTACAACATATATTTACAATATTTATATATATATATATATATAAATTATTTATATATATAAATATTGTAAAT